ATTTATACAAAGTGGTAGCAAGAATACAACAAACAACAACCACATGTATTTTGTATCAGGGGCAAAATGTCAAATCTCAAATCGCCTCAAAGTTTATATGTATTTCGTTTTTGCTATTCAGGGGCATGCTGTCAAATCAGCAAAAGCAAAAACAAAATACATGTAAGGCGAAGGAAAGAAGAAGAAATCAGCTGATTGGACAACACCACCTTGTATAAATTCGCCTTGCAACGCGGGATGCCGCGGGTGCCCAAAATAGCCCAGAAATCACTCCCGTACTCAGCAAAATGGGTAATAGAGAGCGAACATATTGGATCATAAGTGTCTTCTTCTTCCTGCCTGGAACAGCACGGGCTTTTTCTCCGGGTAAAAATTGATAAAGCGTCAAAGTGCATATCAGTTGTTTTGTGTTTACATGTTGCCTGCATTTACTTGGTGCTTTTAAGGAATAGTGAATGTATTTTCAATCTTTATATTCTTAAAATCAAATTTGTGAAACAAAAATTCAATGTCCAAGAGTTTACAGCTGTTTCTCAAATTCTGGGCACGAAATGTGGTTTTTTTGCGTTCCCGTACTTCTGGATTATGTTCCATTTTTGAGAGCAAACTTTTCGCTTATTCTCTAATTACCGAATCCGGTCCGGATTGTTAGGGAAAGAACCTATTGAATGGCATGGAATTGCACAGAACTTCGGTGGGGACGGATTTCTTGCAGTCGATTATTTTTACGGAGGGAAAATATTTAGATTTATTACTATTTTTCCCGTCGGGTCGAAGACTCAGGGTTCTTTTTCTGACCATTTAATTTCAACGGCCCAAAACTCACGAGAGTAATTATGCATGAACAAATTTTGTTTTCTTCGTGTCACCCGAGATGAATAAAAGAAGAGAAGAACAATGTATACGTGAATATCGGTTTGTACGTATTAGTGTCATTCGACGTTTACTACGTTTATGCGACAGAATTCATGAATTCAAAAATGGTTCTGTTTATGCATAACTCGAGAATTTATGAAATGAAGTGTTTTGAAGAAGTGGCATCGCACTAGTGAGAAATTAAACAGTAGGGTTGTGGTTTTATTGGTTTCTTTCTTAATTTGCATACACCGTTGGTACCAGGAAATGGTCCTTGTTATATTAAAATTGGGTTTAATGTATTTCAAAAAACGGAAGCGGTTAGTTGAGCGAAGGATGGCAGTCATGGATATGAAGCTTGCAATGGTGATACGACGGTGGCTGGAAATGGAGGCGACTGTGGAAGCATTGAGCGCGCTTCGAAGTATCCAGGAAAAGGTCGTGGTCGACAGAGGATGCAAAAGCAAGCATTAGAGTGTGAGGCCAGGGATGAAGTTATACATGTCCGGTTGATTAAGTTGACAACGGCGGAGGAGCGGGATGTGGAAACACTAGGAAAGCGTGTGGATCCGGATTTAGCAAGATGTGCTAAACGCAGTGCAGCGACGGACAGAGGAAGCGACATAAATCCGGCGAAAGGGGTGCCCGAGAGAAGAGACATAGTTTGGTCACCACCAGTGGCCGGACGAAGCACGGTCATGTGAGATGGTGCTGTCTCGAGGCGAATCGAGCCGAGAGGGTTTCCATGAAGGTGATTTGGTGTTGTACAAGCTTCAGCGGAATTGCTTCACCTCCAAACAACAACGTAACTGGAAAGGTCCGTATAAGATTGTCAAACGGCTGAATGACGCAGTGTGTCGAATCCAGACCGTTAGGGGACCGAGAACCAAGATGAAGGTGGTCCACTTGGAAAGACTTGCAGCGTTTGGAGTAGCAAGTGCAGGGACGATCCGACTTAGGTGGAGGGCAGTGTGGCGAATACTGCGGCAACGCGAAGAGAACAATTTGAAAATGGCAGAATGGATGACGTAGAATATTCGACAGCGAGAAACGTCAAGTTTATGAATACGAACTTTCTAGAGTTGGCATAAGTGCGAGCGCAGGTATATAAGGCCGCTGATACAGCGAGGAGTAAAGCCCAAAGTACAATCGCGCAGTGGCAGTGACAGTTTTTAAAATCAGCTGTTGCTGCTAATATTGACAGTCACTGCCGCAGCAAACACAATACGGCGTTGTCAGTGACTGGTTTGACATTCCCTTTTGTTTGTTTACATTTCTGTTGTTGCCTTTTAGGCTTCAGTGACATAAACAGAAGTTGGATGCGTTTCATTTGTGTCAGATTCAACATGCAAAGTTTGCTGCGATGAAGACGGTGGCAGTGAATGTAGAATTTGGGCTAAACTGAGCAGTACTGCTAGCTGTCACTGCTGTATTGTGAGTCGCTTCATTGGACACCACACTTTCTAAAAAACAGCTGATTCCGAAAAACTGCCGCTGCCCACTGCCACTGCGTTATTGTACTTTAAGCTTAAGTTAGTCAGTTGTGAATCAGCAAGCTACAAGTCAAATTGTAAAACAGAGTTGAATTGTGTTATCAAGTTTTGTGAAGTGTTTTAATTGCCTTACCAAGTACTGTTAATTGTTGTTATTGCATAAACAAGTATCGTAGTCAAGGACAATCGGAACACCCGATTTACATGATTCAAGTTACAAGCAATTCT